CTTCTTCATCGTCTCCGGATCAGGCCGCGACGGATCCAAAGAAATGGGGGACTCACGTGATGGGAGCACCGGCGGCTCCGGTGGCTCATCCCGATAACCAACAAGCAGCCGCGTGGGTCGCCGGAGATAACCAACAGATGCAGCACCAACCTTACATCGTCTACTCCCCTGTCGAACATCCTCCGACTAATAACCCTCTCGAGCCAGTTATCGGAATGTTCAATACATGGAGCCGTAAAGCTGAGACCGTCGCTCGTAACCTCTGGCACAATCGTAAAGTCTCCTCCTTTTTCTACTTAATCCGACCAATCAGGACCCACCAAATTTTGATGGTTTTTTGCTTTTTTTGGTTCTGTAGTGAAGACAGGTCCGTCTATGTCGGAAACAGCTTGGGGAAAGGTTAATCTGACGAGGAAAGCGATAACGGAAGGAGGATTCGAGTCGCTATTTAGGCAGATTTTCGGAACAGAGCCAAACGAGAAACTGAATAAAACTTTCGCTTGTTACCTCTCGACGAGTACTGGACCTGTTGCCGGAACTATGTATCTTTCGACGGCTCGTGTCGCTTTCTGCAGTGACCGTCCTCTGTTCTTCAAAGCACCTTCCGGACAAGAAGCTTGGAGCTACTACAGAGTAAGTCAAGTCATGTTTGTTAAAAATGAAATCTTTGGTAAATTTTGAAGTATTGTGTTGACGGTTTTTGGGCACAGGTTATTGTGCCGCTGGTGAATGTTGAGACGGTAAATCCGGTGGTGATGAAGGAGGCGGAGAAGTATATTCAGGTGGCGACGGTTGATGGACATGAGTTCTGGTTCATGGGTTTTGTGAATTACGAGAAGGCTACGCATCATCTCTTGATCAGTGTCTCGGATTCTAAAACCGAACACAGCTCTGTGTCTGGTTAAAGCATTTAGCTTCTTCTTTTTTCGGATGATTCCATATGTTTTTGGTTTTATTTGTTTCTTGGTTGGTTGGTTTATGATGCTTCATATGTTTTTCTATATGTTTTTTTATATGTAAATTTGTGAGTCTCGTATCTCCATTTTGTATGTTGATCAGAGGTAGTCTTATTTCACTTATTATATATTGATTCCTTTTGCATTATTAACTCCTACTCTGTTCCTTTTGCATTCACATAGATATATAACATCAACAGAAACAAAATGCATTTTCCTTGAAAACTTTGATAGAGTCTCTAATACACATATTCTCCTCCAGCATTAACGCTGGTGTCTCACTTCCTTGGGTCTTCTTCAAATTATCAACAAGGTTGCGTTTGCGTTCATTCAACTCTTCTCCGAAGAATGTTGCATGAGAGTCTGGTGGGTCGGTGTCTTGGCTCGTTTGGTTCAGATTTCCTTTACAGAAACGGAAATAGCTTAAGGTTTAGTATTTGCTTTGGAATGTTTAGTAATTGCTTTATCTAAATTCTTCATGTTTAGTATTTGATTCGACATTTTTTTTTTCTTTAAAAGTTTTTGTCTCTGAAAGACAGGTTTTGCCGGCTTCGTGTATTAAAAACGCATTCCACATTTGTATTATTTTCTCGTATTTTAATGAATAAAAACAAATTTATAGTAGAATTAATGGAATGTTTATTCCATTTTATTCAACATAAATACTAAAATTTTGATAAACATTTTTATGAATATTTTGTTCCTCTACATTTTATTCATAAAACTAAACAAATTAGGTTTCGGCATGAAGTATTTGAAGAAAATCAAACCAAATTGGGCTACTATACTACTCTAATAGGCCCAATACGATCTTTCATTGCATTCTTTAGGTTTTTTATTTAAGGGATTAATAAATAGCAAAACCGATTACAACATTACAAATTAACATATATTGAATGGCCAATTTTATTCTATTGCTCAAGGCCCAATATTACAAACCGACTTTTACAATTGACGATTGCTTTACCTCCACGTCTAAGACGGATCTTTCGCCAATAAACTTAAAAGCGTGATCACCAAGGCAACGAATCAGATATTTTTGCATCTGTTACGATGTATTCTCTTCTATTTACAGTGTAAATCTTCCATATTTAAAACAAATATCCTTTTCTAGGCATGAAAATCTTAGGAAACTAGGTCACATACATATTTGTATAAATAGATCTCTTCACCAAAACTTTAATAAGAAAACCTTAATTTCCATACACTTTTAGGATTTCTTACAACACTTAAGAAAACCTCATCACCACATTACTGTCATTCCAGTAACCATGGCTTCTCCGTTACTTGGTCCACCGGAGCTCCGACACTACAACTTTAACCTCCCAGAACCCACCACAGATTCTGGTCCATCCATGGAGCTAATAGTCTCAAGCTTCAACAAATCAAACCAAAGTCAACGACGACCTCTCTTCTCCTCCTAAGGGCCAAACCGAGAACGGAGCCGACACGTATCTCTCCGCCGGTAATCCATGCCTCGACTTCTTCTTCCACGTTGTTCCAAGCACTCCAAAGGAATCTCTCGAAGACAGACTCTACGAGGCTTGGAAGCACGACGCGTTAACCACTCTCAAGCTTGTATGTAACCTTCGTGGAGTCCGTGGTACTGGAAAATCCGACAAGGAAGGGTTTTACACGGCGGCTTTTCCCAGAGATTCTTTACCGGATTCTACAAGGCCACGAGATCCGCAAGACGCAAAAATCGGAATGGGGGCAGAGGAAAATGGCACTCGGGCGATCATCTCGAGGTAGTACTAGAAGAGAATTTTTCTCTAACCGTGTGGATGCAAGCCGGAAGGACAAGAAGATACTATTGGGGAAGGAAGCCGGTATTGTCTCGATCCAGACTATAGATTTCTGCACGAACGAGTCTCCGATCACCTGAGAAGAGATATGGAGTTTTCGACTTCCGGCGAAACATACAAGATCTCTCTGGCGGCGAAATGGTGTCCTTCGATCGATTCATGTTTTGACAAAGCAACTCTGATCTACGAGAGCATCGCTAAGAAGCTGTTTCCACGTGAATCCTTCCCGGAATACGAAGGTGTAGAAGAAGCTCATTACGGGTACAGAGTTCGTGATCGGTTACGGAAACAAGTTTTGGTACCTCTCCGGAAAACTCTGCAACTCCCGGAGGTTTACATGGGAGCGAGCGATTGGAATTCTCTTCCTTACAATCGAGTCGCATCGGTAGCGATGAAATCGTACAAGGAGATATTCCTGAAACACGACGAGGAGAGATTTGAGCAATACCTAGAAGATGCTAAATCAGGTAAAACGAAGATCGCCGCGGGAGCTGTATTGCCCCACGAGATCATCGGAGAATTAAACGGCGGAGACGGTGGACAAGTGGCTGAGCTTCAATGGAAACGAATGGTTGATGATACGAGGAAAAAGGGCTCTTTGACGAACTGCATCGCTATCTCCGACGTGTCGAGATCTATGAGCGGTACTCCGATGGAGGTTTCCGTTGCTCTGGGTTTACTCGTCTCTGAGTTATCTGAAGACCCATGGAGAGGAATGCTGATAACTTTCAGCAAAAACCCAGAATTGCATTTGGTGAAAGGAGACGACTTGAGAACGAAAACAGAGTTTGTGAGGAGAATGAAGTGGAATATGAACACTGATTTTCAGAAAGTGTTCGATCTGATTCTGAAAGTTGCAGTGGAAGGGAGACTGAAACCGGAGGAGATGATCAAGAGGGTTTTCGTGTTCAGCGACATGGAGTTCGATCAAGCTAGAGTTAATCGATATCGGCGTTATGGTAGATGCTATGAAGTGTCGACTTCGAGGAATGGTGGATGGGAAACGGATTACGAAGCGATCGTGAGGAAGTACAGAGAGAATGGTTACGGTGAAGCTGTGCCGGAGATTGTGTTTTGGAATCTGAGGGATTCGGGTTCAACGCCGGTGACGGGAAGCGAGAACGGAGTGGCTTTGGTTAGTGGGTTTTCGAAGAATTTGATCAAAATGTTTTTGGATAATGACGGAGGGATTAGTCCAATGAAGATCATGGAGGTTGCTATATCAGGAGAAGAGTATGAAAAGCTTGTTGTAATTGAGAATGATGTAATAAGCAACAAGCCAACAAGATATAAAAGAAAGAATAGAATGAAGCCCAAGGTCATCTCTCAGCCAAAACCTGCAACGTATCAAAGCAGAGGAAGGACACAAACTACCAATCAAATGCCGTTAAAGAACAGATTTGATGCTTTCATGGATTTAGATCAATGATTAAGCTTTTGTATAAATATGAATGTGATGTAATAATCGGATCTATTCAAGTAATAAAAATATATTCGTGAGGAAAGAGTATAAGAAGCTTGTTGTGTAATTGATTGACTTGTCGCTGGTTTATGGGTTTATAAAAAACAGTGAATCTGGTTGCTTTCTGTATGTGATGAGAGAGTAGCCTCGTGTTTGCAGTTTTTTGTTTCGTGGCCCACGTTGGTGGAGATTAAGCTCTTTTGGTCTTTTGGTATTAGCCAAGTTTGGTCCTCTGTTGAAACTAGACGAGCAGGATGATGCAACTATGAGCCTGAGGTTTTGAGGTGAGCTAGCTACAGTTTCTGCGCCAAACCAAGTTTGTTCTTGTATAATCTTTTGCCTTACTCTATCTAGCATTATTGTCTCTTGGTTTTGGATTGTTATTTATTACATGTTCCTAGGCATGTATGAGTTTTGATCTTTTCAATTCATTCTTGTCATCTATGAGTTTCTGCGTCAAACCAATTTTCATTACGCAATTTTAACACCACTGATTCTATATTCCATTTCATCTATGAGTTTTGATCTCTTTTTTTTTTCATTATTGTCTTAGTTTTGAATTTGTTTCCTTATGTACAAGTTCACCTTTTCTATCTCAAGATGCTCTAAATATCACAGAAATACATGGCCACCTTCTCGTACAAAGGGAAAGATTTCAAAAGACCCTCTAGCTGATCTGCAGAAGAAGCTGGGACAGTTTAAAGTGGCTTCAGACAAACCCTCTCCTCCAACCAAAGGTCGTACAAAAGAGTAAAGTTAGCAATTGGCAGTCTAACTCAAGACACTATATATGACTCCTGCAACAATAGCTCCAACTTATGTCTCCAGCATACGTACGAAAGAGCCATTTCACTCTCTAATACATACGAAAGAGCCTTTTCTCAAGATTATTCTCCTAACCATTTTTTTAAAATGCTTATAATTCTGAAGTCATGAGAGATATTAGAGCTAGTGTCGACATGAGAAGAATTCAAAGGAATGTTCTAAGTCCATGTGTCACAAGGAAAAAAAGACAGGTTTTAAAACTGAAAACGTCTTACAGTGAGTGGTTTTTATGGGCGTGAAATATACTCATAGAGAGATATTGAGAGAGCTCCGATGGCAGCCAAATCTTCTTGCCTTGCTCTTGATAGGAAAGATCTCAGAGGACGAATAGGAAGGTTGGACGACTCTGGACCGCCAACTTTTGCTCTAATGGGATTGCTCCAAATACGAGCTTCATCCAAGCAACCTTTTGTGCTGTATCTTCATCAATCCCACATCCTAGTTTAGATCCAGTAGACTGTTAAAATCCAGTAGACTGTTTAGATCGACTTGAGTGCATAGCCACGATACGATAGAGAGATCGTTGCTTTGTAGAGCCCACGCAAAACTTTGTTCGTACTTTGTTTCGGATAGAAGCTTTGATAAATCTGATTTGGAGGCCTGTACAAACTAAAGAAACGGGCTAAGTATTATTTTCCCTTTTTTACTGATTAGAGATTAGAAATTGACAAATAAATGGAAGGATGAAAGAGAGAAAACGAACTTTTCGACTTTTTTGGCAGTCTGACTCCAGACGGACACTAAGAGTACTCTGGATTTTTTTAGTTTCGAGTGATGTGCTCTGATCAAGGTATTTTTTAAGCTCACGTTTTGCTCTCTGAATTTCTCTGCATGTATCAAATGAAGACCTCGAGTTTCTCCTCTGATTTCTTAGTAATCTGTTGCAAAGCAGTTTCTACTTGTTTGGCTTTGTTATCAGATGTAGAAGCGACTCTGCTCATGATCTTTCCCTCAAAGTTCTTCAACTCCTTGGTAAGAGTATTTGTCATGAAGAGCTTGAGTTTCTCCTCTGATTCTCAGTCATTCGTTGAAAAGCCGTTTCTACTTGTTTGCCTTTGGCCTCTAGAGCATTTGAGAGTTTTCCT